TGGGTGAGAACCGACTCGAAGGCACTTAACAACAACAAATGTTCTCCTAGGGCCTTCTTTACCTGGGCTGTCTTCTCAGGTTTTCTGGGATAGTGGGCATGAGGGGTTACTTTGCAGAAGTGCCCCTTTTTATTCTGTGCTCTTTAAAATCAACAGAAAAAGGCAGGCCTCATCGTGGCAAAGATTACTCCAGTGTAACAACTCCTGTGAAGCCTTCAAGTTTCACATTCTGCTACCTCAGCTTCATGTGCTGAGACAGAAAAAGCAGCAGGAAGACTTGTTTAACATTTATTCCCAGGTTTTTTTTTAATTTCCTCTGAAATGAATATGAATACACTATGGTCTTTACACTCTGCAGGAGCTAATCCCCCACTGGAAGCTTTGGGGAATCTCATTCCTTCTTGCGGATGCAATCTGTCGACACAGGCGTTCCTTCAGGCTCTTTTGAAAGGCCCACAGTGGACGGGGTGGCTGTCTTTGGAGCTCTATTACATTTATAAGTACGATTTTTTTAAAAAAGAAAATAACATAGGAATTGCTTCCAGAACCCAAATGCCTGTGTGAAATGCTGTCTTCTCTTTGAATCAAGGCGGCTTTCAATGGCTTGTCCAGGCAGTGAGCGGGCAGAAGGCTGGCCTCACAGCCTCCGAGGAGGGGGGCAGTGACTGAAGCCTGAACCCGCCGCACACGCTCAATAGGAAATGTGTACTTTCAATGTTGAAAGAACCATGGGAAGAAACTTATATTTTTATAAATGAAAGTGCTTAATAAGTATTATTCACTAAGCAAGATCACATTTTCCTTGAAAATCCTGGTCTGTGTATCAGTTTCATTTGTAAAGAAAAATTTAGCTGAACTATTCAATCCCTTCTAATAACGGTAGTAAAATGTGTGAATCATTGGTGATGATTGCACAACATTGTGAATGTAATTAACAGTACTGATTGCACATGTAAAAACGATTGAAATGTTCTTATAGATAGTTCATTATAATAAAAAATTTTAATTCTCAACATTTAGTGTTGCTGTTCTTAAGTGATATCAAGTTGGTTCTGACCCATAGCAATCCTGTATAGGGTTTCCCAGGAGAGGCTGGTGAATTTGAATGGCCGACTTTGTGATTCAAACTGACCGTGCGGTCCATTGCTTTATTCCCAATATTCAGTGAGCATTATTTACTGTGTACATAGCACTATAAGGAAACTTGGTGGAGGCCTTTTATCAAATAAGTCTTTGGTCTGCAGAAGTTTTTTGTTGTTGTTTAAGGTAACTGAAGGAGCCATGGTGGTGAAGTGGTTAAACCCAGCAAAAGGTTGGGATTGTGAGCCCACCAGCAGCTCCACAAGAGAAAGACTGCCAGTCTGCCCCCGCCCCGGCCTCTGTCCTCATATGTTGTTATTGTTAAATGTCATGGAGTCAGTTCTGACTCATAGTAACTTTATATAGGGTTTCCGAGGAGCGGCTTTTGATTTTGAACCACCGACCTTACAGTTCACACCAGGACCCCCCATAAAGAGTATGGTGTTGGGAACTCTGTGAGGCAGTTTCACTCTCTGTCCTATATGGTGACTATGAGGTGAAATTGACCTGAGGGCAGTGGATTTGTTTTTAGCAGCAAGCTCAGTGGGATAAAAAGTGTTTTAGAAATGGTAATCTGGTTGAAATAGTTAAATTATTTAGGATTGTGCAAAGTTATCTGTCAAATGATCTGACCAATCCTTTTTATACATCTATGCTTTGAAATCACACAGAGTATTTTCTCAGCACAGATTAAGGAATCTTCTTTAGAAAGCATTCCCAGGTTTCTTGATGAATCACTTGGAATAAGAATCCATCTTAGAGTTACCGTTGTATATCTCCCCCACGCTATCTAATGAAGCTTCCTTCTGGTTTCTTGGGTGGCCAAACACATGATAGATATATGACTTTGAGTCAGGAACTGAAATAAAATTCCTATAATACCCTTAAGGGAAGGAGGGATTGTCACTTGCAAGCATTTTAGCCAATGACTTAATTCCTTTTAAACGTCCCTCAATACTTACTTAGCGCTCTGAATTGAACCCAAAAGAGTTGCTTATTTTGCCTATTGAATTCAAAATACGTCAAGCCTCTGTGGCTTTGTGAATTTTCTTTCAGGGATTTCAAGTGCTAACTGATATGGCATGTGCCCTCATAGAACTTATTTAATATTCCAATCCGCAACCTCAAGAATACTGCACCCCAGCTGAACTAAAGGGGAAAGAAGGACTGAGAAGCAAACCATATGTTGTTTCTAGAAAGTGCATTTTTAAATAGCACCATAGCACTGAATCTGAAGACCAGATGGTGCACTCTTTAATTACCTACTGTCAGGTGACTGTGGACAGAACTCAGACCCTCAAAACTTTCATTCCACGGTTCAAGCACTCCTACCCTGTACCAGCATCATGACGTAGAAGTGGGACTTCAACTCTAAAGATCCATGCCCCTGGTAAGGCACACATTTCCTAAGTGGCCATTCCTCAGTTTCCATTTCTGACTCGGAATTTAGTAAATGGTTGCATTACCCTTCCTGATCCTCAGACCAAAAAGAGTTGGAGTTATCCTCTCTTTCTCTTTCACTCAGCACCCAAAATGTCAGCACATGCTGTTGACTTTACTTTCAAAACATACTCAGAGTCCAAATACTTCTCAACACCTGTACCATTTCCACACTGATCCAAACCACCATCACCTCTCCCCTGGATTCCTGCAAGAGTCTCTAACTGGATTCCCTGTTTCACTCTCACCCTTTACTAACCATTCTCAACTTAGGAGACAGAAAAATCCTCTTAAAACTTCAGTTAGGTCATGACACTTTTCTCTTCAAAACTCTGCAATAACCCTTGGTTCCTCCATCATCTTACAGAGATTAAAAAGTCAGGGTCCTTATAGTGGCTGCGAGGGCCCAAAAATATCCTACCAATTGCCATCTTATTGAATTGACTTCCCTCAACTCACTCACTGAGTCTCGGTGATGTTCTTGAAACACTCCAGGAAGGAGCAGTCTCATTCTTGGGGTCTTTACATTTTTAGTGTAATTGCTTGAAGGACACTTCTCTTACACAACCACATGGCTTACTCCTTCACCTCCTTCAAATGTTTCTGCAGATGTTGCCTTCTAATGTCACCTACCCTGATCACTCTCTAAACCTGCAACTCCCAACTCCTGGCACCTCTATACTTTATTACCTCTACAAAACTTACCATCATCTGATACGCTATTATTTGTTTGTTATCTATTTCCTTCCACTAGCATGTAGTCAGGGTAGGGATTTTTGTCTGTTTTATTCACTGTTGCATTTATAGCACCTAACAAAGATACTGGCAAATGGTGCTCAAAAAACATTTGAGCAATGAAGGAATGCATATTTGGACTATGTGCTATCTACGTTAGAACGCTAGGATTTCGTATGTTTACTCACAACTATTCCTCAACATATACATCACAACTTCTTCAGAGTCGGTAGATCAAATTCCACATTTTAGAAGATGGTTATATTAAGGTTTCAAATTCTAGAAAGTCCCAGGTCAGCAGATCAGTGGGCTGATACAGGTGCTTTTCTATGCTTTTTATTGTATGGATCTAGATTTACTTTCAGGGGTGTGGGACATAGAGTCATTCTGGGCAAAACAGAGCATGCTGGCTTCTACCCTGCTATTTGCCTCTAGCACTGACCGCACACAGCACTGAGATTTTCTCTTATGAAAACAGAAATTCCCTCAAACAGGGTATCACTGCAAGAAAAGAAACTTTCCAATGGAAACTTGGGAAGTAAAAGGAATGTACTAGATGTCCAAAGATTCCTTTTTTTGATTTGAGATTGGTTTGAGGTTAGGCTAATGGAAAAGAAATATCTGATCATCAGCATTTTGATTAGTAGTAATATAAGAACTTTTTAATTGAAGTTGTCTTTGTGAGGAAGTAAGTAGAGAAGGAAAATAATACTTTTGTCAGAATGAAGTTCCTTATCAATCAAAATAATCTTACTTTTCCTGTTTCTTCTTCTGTAGTATAACACCAAAGTATCTGCTCATAAGTTTTAGTCAATTTAGTGACAAAATACCATCATCTCAATGAAGCATATGAAAATGATTTCATTTCATTACAAGTACTGGAAGTCATCTCATAAGATTTTATAGATCAGTGAAACAAATAAAATGAAATTTTAGTGGAAATTGCTACAGATTTGCATTTGCTTCAGTATTAGATTTTTTTTTTTTAATCCAATGATTGCCACCATAATAAAGAGAAGAAAGTTGTGTGGTTCTTTCTAGACTGAGCAATTTATAAAGACACTAATTCCTCAGTAATATGTCTATGATTTTTACTACCATTTCACACTGCAATAACTACTCAGAACATAGTGAACCAATCATTTAGAGGAAGTGTTACCCTTGATTAGATGGTATTATTGTCTTGTTGCTTCATTTTTGCTTACAATGTGACTCCAACAAGACAGAGCATCTCTTCAGAGCAGAAGTTGTATCTTATACTGTTCTTGTAACCCCTGAAGGTATTAAGCATAGAAGCGAGCACTCAGTAGTATCAGCTGAAGTAACTTTGCTATTGTTGTTGTTGTTAAGTGCCATCCAGTTGGTTCCTCCTCGTAGCAACCCTGTATAAGTTGCTATAGGTCCAAGGAGTGGCTGGTGAGTTTGAACTGCTGACCTTGTGGTTCAAACTGACCTTGCCTTATCCCACAGTGCCACACTAGAGATTGTTTAAAGCTATGGTAAAAAGGAAAATGCTACTGTTATTGTAAGTGAGGCATGAAATAATGAACAGCTAAAGAAGGGTTGGCCTGTACAGATGAAGACACTCTGTGAAAGAAGCGTAAGACACACAGGAAAAACAAATTAATGGAACAGACTAGTGCATGTTTGGGTTATATACCATAGTGAAGCACGTTTTGAGTTTCAAGAAACACTCTTAACAAGGTATTTTGAGATGTGAATTCAGAGCTAAAATAAATTCTTACAGTTTTCATCCTGGGCAATGCATTGTAAAGGGATCCCAAAGAAAGACGTATAGCTGTCATTGTACCACACCAGAAGCTCGGTACCCCTGGGAATATCTATACAGGCTCGGTAGAATATATTCGACCTATTCAAAACAAAAGAAAACCCAGCTTAGTAATAGGTAAGGCTTAGGTGCCCCCATCCACATTTTTATTGCTCCACCTAGACAGTTTCTGTTTGTAACAAATCTGCACCCACCTTATTGTCTCCAACAAACAATGAGAGACTACAGTCCAATTCGATAAATAGCTCAGAGCTTATTTCCACAGTGTCCCTCCATAAAGCTTTTCTAGTAAAGAGATAGTTACTTGGCCCAAAAGAAGGTAGAAACCAAGAGTTCTAAAAAAAAAAAATCTCACACCAGTGCAAAAATTCTCTTTTGGTAAATGACAGACACTGGTGGCCCACTCAATATATAAATTAATATTATAATTACTTACTTGAAGGAAAAGCATTAGATGTATTCTTGCAAGTTTACATTGGGAGTTCCCAAATTTGTAATAAAATTAGGCAGTTTTGTGATATAACACCTAAGAGAAATAGAAATCCTTTCCCTTGCCTTTCTTCTAAAGTTTAACACAAAAGAAGAGAAAATCCCTCTTATATGAAATGGATGGAAATTCGATAAATACAAGAGAAGCACTTTAATCTGGCTGAAAGATTACATTCTGAAATGATGTAGTGGAGGTAACATGAAATAAACATATTTTATAAAAGCTTTGGTACTATAAAGAAAAATCTACAGACTATAAAAAAAAAAAAAAATGAAGAGACTGCCACTGGTTTTCTCAATGAAGAATTGCTACAAGTATGAGTCTCAAATTCAAGATAAAAGTGTTTAGGGTTGGTGGGCCTTAAATTTAGCTCTTCTGTAAGGAATTGGCTGTAGCAGAGCAATTTGTTCCTTGTATAACACTGCAGACATAAGGCGAATCCTTCACCACATTTTTCATGGCAGTGAGATATGCACTTGTCAACATATTTTGTCACCACAAAGTGGCTCTTGGCAATAGGATCATAAAGATCAATAAAAAAGAGCAGATTCTCAATATTTTACTTGCAGCTGCAAAAATTTCATTTATCTTGTTATTTTCCTTACTTGCTGCCATTCTGTCTCATGAGGGCACTGCTAGCTAAGCAGAATGTTTTTCCCAACATCCTATGAATATCTGACAAAAACTCCAGCCAGTTGTCCAGCCCTCGCTTACCATTCCTTCCTCCCTCTGCATCTCCAAGAGCTGTTGTGCATTTTATTAATTCTTTCCACTGCTACATAAAAAAAAAAAAAAAATCAAAATTGGAGCCGAGCTATAAATCACTGGCATCTCCTAACTTGAGAAAAATTGAGTCTACTTTGTACTTCACCCTTGTAACATTTCATCTCTCGGTTTGGCTTCCCTTAATATAAACACAGCGCCCGGCAAATGAATGTGCTAAAACCAAATGACACACTTTGCCGCTGAAAGAGCAGAACTGTTTTCGAGCAATGGGTGGTCTTCTGAGGCACAGAGTAGGCCGAAAGGGGGAAAAAATATGTAAGCGTACACCATTCCTTACAAGCGGGCAGAGCTTCCAAAACTTGCAGAAATCTCTGCATGTTGAAGCACATCAAAGGGATTTTTCCCTTTTCAGATAATATTTCCTTTGCTGACATGTATTTAGTATTGTGGTTGGATGACTCATAAAGATAGCTTCATAGCGTCCCAACGCAGTTGAAGCAGAACACATGCCAACAAACATTATTGTCAGCCTCAAAATAAAAACAAAACGTTCAGCTAAGGGTCAATCAATCAAGGGCGCTTTGAAGAAAATTCCATTTAGATATTACAAATCATAACAGAATGAATTTAAACCAGCTGACTTTTTGTGAAGAGGACATTCACGTACAATAAAAATTAGACTGGCTCTTCAGGGTTCAACTTTTCTATTTTCTTACTCTTGGACGTAGCCACTGGTGATGGATGCCAGTTTTCTAAATTGTGTTTTTGTAGTTCATTTTATAAAGATCTGAAGTAATCGAAAACAGATCGGCAAAGAGAAACTCGAAGTTTAAGCGCCATCACAAAAGTGGAGTTGTAAAAACCACTTAATATTGACAGATACATAGTGGTGTGTTCATGACCACCTTCCTCTTAGGGTTTTCTTGTTTTCCTGGATTCAGAATTTGCCTGGAGAGCTCCCTGGGCACTCATTACAGAACCAGCCAAACTATCTCTCATTAAATAGACAAGAACAAGCTTTACTCATTCTCTAGCTCAGAGTTTCACGACAGAAATTCAACAGCAGCAAAGGTGAGTAAAGCCCAAATCCAGCAGTGTAACCAAATACCATCGTGTACTATTTCATTTAAACCATTATTTTAATGAAATAAAGTGCAGAGGAAACCAAGGCAGTGAGTCACTGCTGCCCAGATACGTTCCTTTTGAATCAGAGTCCTTGGAGAACAAGCCAGGGTTGTGTAGCTTTTAACCAATAAGGGGGGAGAAAGTTTGGTAGTTTTTTTTTTTTTGGTTTTTTTTTAAGCTTCATATTTTTAAGCCAAAAAAAAAAAGGAAAGGAAAATAAATAGCTACAGGCAGGATTCCAAGTGGCCGAGCACAGAGCCTTCTGCTTTGATGTGTCTGTGGTACCTAATAAAGCTAAACAGTTGCTTCTGATTCTAAAGGGAACAGGGCTGTTTATAACTGAGGTCATATATTTATGTGGCACATGTTTTCGAGGGATTTTGAAAAAGAAGGCTTAGTGGTAGGGTGGTTTTCCCCCCACACACACTATTTGACTTGTTTTTGCCTTCTCGTCTCCACTCTACCCTTCTCTAGCTTTAAGTGAAAATGCTAGACCAACAGGTGCACTGAGCAGATGTGACTTAGCACCCTGAAAGCTAATCTTGCTTCTCAACTCTCAAGAGACATCTGTAGTTGATTCTGAGAAACAAGGATAGCTCCACCCCACCATGTCTTTGTTACCCTTTGACCAAACATCTCAGGACACTGGGAACTTCTCTGTGCTCTGGAACAGACTCATAACCTGAAACGCATCCTGAGTTGTTAAAGGGTAGAGCCCAAATCCTCTGACACCTTCTGGGAGAGCAAGAGAGGTGGGGCTATCTTGGGAAGAGTTCTTGGTTTTCATGCCTTTGTTCCCACTGGGAGATAGTCCAAAGGTGCCTGAATGCAAGGGGCAGAGGACTGAATCCCTGAACTTCTACTTGATCTATGTGCAAACACCTGCTGAGTGGAAATGTCTCAAATCAGTTTGCCAGGCTCATTCATACCACTGTGCCACCATGAAGTTTTATTAACTTCATCATGTGCACTGAGTGAAAGAGGCCTTCTGCTAGCACCTTTACTACTGAAGTCACAAGAAATTACAATTGCAAAGAGGTTTCAGAAACCTAGCAAAAAAAAGTTTCTGACAGTCCTAGTAAAGATCTGCAGGATTAAAAAAACAAACTAGCAGCATATCCAAATTTGTATTCACAAGTCAAAGGGCTCCAACTCTGTAAGTGGTAAATCAAGATATACTTTACCTGTACTGAACTACTGTTAGATTCTGTTCTCCACAGTGCCTTGCACATCGGATATACCTCATCCAGCTCGACTTACTAGGTTCCCCACCATCAATAAAGTGCTGTAGTGTCCCATCTTGGTCATATATCTAGAGAAGAGGTCAGAAGGTCAAGTAGTTAGAACGAATCATTAGCAATCATTCTCCCTGCTTCCCTTGGTGTCTTTATGTGTCAACTGCAGAAATTTATTGCTGTTAGGTTTGATAGTGTTTATTGATGCTTGTGGAAATTCAACTGGAATAACAGGAAAATATTTTTTGGTGATGCAAGTTGATCACATTTTTCTTATCGAGCCAATCTTTCCAGTACTAAACATATTTATGATATCTCAAAGATGTGACCATGTTTCCCAAAGAATATTTAACCTATTTTGACAGGCTAGTCTTAAGTAATGAGCTGCTGGATAAACAAAGCAAGCTGAAAGAAGAGGCCCCGTGACATGGTTGGAACAACCACAGTAAGAGTCCTCGAGGCTCAAACACATGACTATTGAACAGCATTCTGGAGGCAGTCAATGTCTGTCCAAAAATATCAAGTTGTAAAGAGCTGGTGATGCAAACTACAATTTAGATAAAATAAATGGACTTTCACCTCAGAGAAAATGTAGGATTTCAGCTGCCAAGACTTGAAACTACTAGGAGAGGAGTCATCAAAAAGAGAGACCCTCAAAAAAATCCTCCAAAGGATTTAAAATTTCTTAACTGGGATTGGTCTAATAATTATTGTCTTAAGATCAACTCAAGCAGATTTTCTTTCATGAGAGCATTTAAGAACATGAAATCAGCTTCCAATCTGGCAAAACATCTAACTAGCCAACCAAGCACAGAGTCAGTGCTGACAGTGGAAGAAATAGCTTCCCCTCTGGACTCTAATTCAGATCCAGGACACCTTTGCATATGGAGTATCTGGAGGTGCCGGACATGAAGGGGTACACACACATCCACAGTCATACTCAGTCTTGGGGGCATCCAGGAAGCAATGGGCAGTTAAATGTGTTTCTTAGGAGCACAGTTCTCAAAAAGACCAGGACTCAATTGGATCATTTCAAATAAACTCAGCAATGAAGTACTTCTAGTAACTGCTAAAGGGCTCCCCAGAAGCATCCTGAAAAAATGTCTTTCGCTCTTGTGAGTCAGACTTTCCAAACAGACTTACAGAAAATAAGTCTTACAAAGACCCTCACTGGCTACATTTAAGACCTAAAATTAATATAGTTCATTCGTATTAATTTAGTTTAGTATTTCTATTCTGAGAGCCAAACAGTTTAGTGATGACAGATCCTTGTTACTAACATCAGTTATCCTAAAACAGCTGACAAGGGTCCTTTTTTGTGGTTGTTTTCTCTTACACTCATTCCTCTCTAGCCCCAAGTTTTCTAACAACCTCCACAAAACAGACAAACATTAATAAAGTCAATTGTTTGAGAAGTTATGGCAGGGTAAACAATCCACAATGATTATAGTAAATAATCAATTTAGCCTGAGAAGAATGAAGAGATTCCTAGATTACCTTTTCATTTCTAGATTATGTTACACCACAGGCTAATGACTTACTTAAATTCTTAGTTTGGGGATGATGGCAGAAAATGGAATCAGTTAATGTGGTAGATACATCTGTTATCTGAACAATCTAATGACACACATCATATTTATATTAGGTGACACTATGATATCTTTTTAAGGAAGCTGATTAAGATTCTAAATCTCAACCCTGAGTCTACTGGTAACAGTTCATAAAACACTAAACACCATTAGGTTCGTTTTAACACCACAGTTTATCATAATTGAGCCCAAATGTTGATGATCCAGATTCCTGTTCTGCTCTTTTCCTATGTACAAACCTTCCATGAGGACTGCTGCTGAAAATAATTATGAAATATTTTGAGAAGTGGACACAACAACCCTCCTTTGTACTTGTAGTCAACATTCCCAATGACAAGTAAAATCTCTCTAACATTTATAAATATTGGGTGCTATCTTAAGTGTTTCACCATTGGTCTCTCAATTTGTCATACTGTTGTGGATGGTGCGTTGCTGAGATGCTGTTAACTCTGCCACAGATATTTTAAACACCAGTAGGGTCACCCATGGTGGACAGGTTTCAGCAGAGCTTCCAGACTAAGACAGACTAGGAAGAAAGAGAGGTAGACCACTTCTGAATGGTTATCCACTAAAATTTATAAACAGCAGCAGAACAGTATCTGATTCAGTGTCAGAATATGAGCCCCTCAGGTTGGAAACACTACTGAGGAAGTCTCCTCAAAGAACAGTTCACCTTAATAAGGTGGATGGAGCAAAGTTTCTGGAGCAAAACTTTTGGGACACAACTCAAAATGAAAAGAAACAGCTGCAAATATACACTCATAATCAGAACATGGAATGTATGAAGAATGAATCCAGGAAAACTGGGAGCTATCAAAAATGAAACTGAACTCATAAAGATTGATATCCTAGATATCATTGAGCAGAAGTGGACTGGTATTGGCCATTTTGAAGATCTATCTTGAAGCACAATACTGTCTGTGATAGACTAATATCCATATGCTTACAAGCTAAACAAGTGAATAAAACTACTATTCCAATTTTTACACCAACCACTAAAGCCAGTGATAATTAAACTGAAGAATTCTACCAACTTTTTCAGTCTGAAATTGATCAAGCATGCAATCAAGGTGCATTGATAGTTACTGGTGACTGGATTGTGGAAGTTAGAGACAAAGAGGAAAGATCAGTAGTTAGAAAATGTGGCCTTGGTGACAGAAGTAAAACTGGAGATCATACAATATAATTTTGTAAGATTAGTGATTAATTCATTGCAAATATAATTTTTCATCAATATAAATAGCAACTATTCACATGGACCTTACTTGATGGAATACACAGAAATAAAATGAACTATATCAGGAGGAAGAGATGGTAGAGAAACCAGTAACATCAGCCAAAACAAAACTAGGTGCCAACTATGGGACAGACCATCAACTGCTTATATGCAAGAACAGGTTGAAGCTGAAGAAAATTAAAGTAAGTACACAAGATGTAAAATATGACCTGAAGTATATCATACTTGAGACCATCTCAAGAACAGGTTTCATGCATTGAACACAAATGATCAAAGACCAAAGGACTTGTGGCATGACATAAGAACAACATACATGAAGAAAGCAAAAGGTAATTAAAAAATAGGAAAGAAAGAAAAGACCTAAGTAGATGTCAAAAGAGACTCTGAAACGTGTTTTTGAATGTAAAGTAGCTACAGTAAATGGAAGAAATGATGAAGTAAAAGAGCTGAACAGAAATTTTCAAAGGACAGCTAAAGAAGACATTGTCAAGTATTACACAGAAATGTATAAAGACCTGGAATCAGAAAATGAAAAAGGAAGATTACATTCACAAATAATCCACTTAAAAAATGGACACAGACCATGAACAGGCACTTCACTAAGGAAGGCATTCAGGCAGCCAACAAACACATGAAGAAATGTTCACAATCATTAGCCATTAGAGAGATGCAAATCAAAACTACTATATCATCTTGCATCAGGACTGACAGTAAAAAAAAAAGCAAAGGACAATAAATACTGGAGAAGATGTGGAGACACTGGGACCGTCCTACATTGCTGGTGGGAATGCACAATGGTTCAGCCACTCTGGAAAGGCTATTCTTCAGAAAGTTGGAAACAGAACTATCTTATGATCCAATAATTCCTCTTGTTGTTGTTGTTGTCAGGTGCCATCGAGTTGGTACCTACTCATAGCAACCCTATGCACAGCAGACTGAAACACTGCCCAATCCTAGGCCGACCTCACTACTGTTGCTACGCGTGAGTCCATCGATGCTACCACTTGGCTAATCCATCTCGCTGGGGTCTTCCTCTTTTTCTCTGACCCTCCACCTTACCAAACATGATATCCTTCTCTAGCGACTGGTCCCTCCTGATAATAGGTCTGAAGTATGAGGACGAAGTTTGGCCATTCTGGCCTCCAAGGAGCACTCTGGCTGCACTTCTTCCAACACAGATCTGTTGGTTCTTTTCATAGTGCATGGCACTTTCAATATTCTCTTCCAACACAATAATTCAAAAGTATCAATTCTTCTACGGTCTTCCTTACTCACTGTTCAGCTTTCACATGCATATGAAGTTATTGAAAATACCATGGCTTGGGTCAGGCGCAGGTTAGTCCTCA